GAGACCCCGGTGCTCAGCGTGCTGCGGAGGGAGGCGCGCGCGCCCCTCGGCGCCCCGGTACGCACCGACGCCCTGAGGCTGCAGGCGGGGACCCGGGTGGGGGTGAGGGGGGCCTGTGAGCTCCTGAGGCGCGGCGGGGGCTCCGTGTGGCGGAGCCCCTGGGGGCCAGCGGGGCCGGCTTTCCAGACCTCTGGTGGGAGCCCAGCTCCGGGCGCCGGGACTCCGCGTCCGGACGTGCGAGGCTCCGGACGGCCCTGGGTTCTGCGGATCCTGGAGTTCGGGCCCCAGTCGCCTCTCCCCAGCACGGGGTCCGTCCGGAACCCGAAAAAGAGAGCCCCAGGGTCGCAGGGACCTAGCGCCCAGGACCCCCGGCTCCTGCGGGGCACTTCTGGACCCGGCTGAGGAACCCCTAGGACCCCCACTGTGTGTGTGTGTGTGTGCGCGCGCGCGCGCAGACCCCTTCTCACGGCTCTGCTGACGGGGTCCCGCCGCCGAGACGCCGCCCCTTTGGGCTCGCGGACACAGCCGCCTTCCCTCCGCGCGGGGCCTCTCGGCTCCTGCAGCGCCTCTGGGTTGGCACCCGCGCAGGGCACAAGGGCTGGGAAGGGCAAGCGGGTCTCCTCGCGCGCTCTCCGGGGTTCCAAGTGGGGCTAAGCGGTGGAGATTGTCCTCCTTGCGGGGTCCTCCCTCCCCTTTCAGCCCCGGAAGCCCTCAAAGCCAAGGTCTCCCCACTCCACAGCACCCCCAAATGCCCTTCTTGGGTCCCCAAAGCCACCTGTCCATGTCCTTGGAGTTCTCCGATTCCACCCCGACGCTCCAATTTGCAGAGAAAGTAGAAAATGGCCCAAGGAGAACAGGGCAGATTTCGGGGGACCCTGTGTGCCCCAGGGAAAGACCCACACACACCAAGTCCGCGGGACCCACCTCTCCGGAGCCTTCTGGGGATCTCCCTCCAAGACACAGCCCCCCCCCACCACTGCGGCCTTCCTTCTCCTTCTGGAAGGAGACACCCCCCTAGGGAAGGGGCCGCGCCCCCTGCCCGGCTGGAGAGCTTGCGACCCCAAATCCGAGCTTGTGGTGCCCCCTGCCGCCGTCTCCCGGAACTGCACCCGCCCTGTGGGAACGTCAGGCTGTGCTGGGCTTTGCGGGCGCAAGAGCTGAACACCACCGCGCTGTCCCCCAGCGTTTGACCCTCTGCCCCCACCCAGGCAACACCCTGCCCGCCTTGTTTGTGGCAAAGTCCTCATCCTTCACACACTTGCTGCAAATCGAGGGGCACTTTCTGGATGCCCCCCGAGCTGGCTTGCCCAGCCCAGGGCAGTGTGTCATGAGGGGCGTCTGAGAGGAAGCTCGCTGGCTGGGCGTCAGTCACCCTTGGCTTCCATCTGTGACCCTCGGGCACCTCCCGGATGGGGGTGATGAGGTCAGGACGGGTTGAGGGATTTGAGTCTAGGAGACTCCAGCAGGGGAGCCGGGGTTCCGCGTGGGGTATCTGTAGAGAGGAGGGGCAGAGGAGCGGGGCTGTGAGCCCCAGCAGGCTGGGTTTCCTCCGATGGCCACAGGGAGCCCCCAGGGGCCAGCGGGGGAGCTGGGAGGAAGCTGGGGTGCGGCGTTCACGAGCAGGTGGCCTCTGCTGGCGCGGGCAGGTTGGTGCCCGCGAGGCCACTGAGCCCTCCCTCTGCAGAGCCGCTTCCACCTGCTGCTGGACTGGGCCAGCCCCCTGGAGACGCTGCTGGACGTGCTGGCGTCGGTCCTGCGGGCCCACACCTGGGAGGACGTGGGTCTGGTCC